GCCATGGCATCACAGCTCACAGCAACCTCCAACTCCTGGGCTCAAGTGAGTCTCCTGCCTCAGCCTCCCAAGTAGCTGGGACCACAGGCACCCACCACCTTAGGTGTATGTGGCTGGTGCCTTAGCCACTTGATCAACAGGTGCCAAGCCTCCTGTTGCTTTTTAAACTGGGTGGTGGGTTCATGGGTTTTTCTTACACTATTGTGAGTACTGTTTTCTATGCCTTAAATATTTCATTATTTAAAAAAAGTGCAACTGTCATCCACACAGAAGCATGGGCTTTGAGGGTTCTAGGTTCCTGGGTTTACATCTCAGCTCTGCCAGGCTGACCAGTCCTCTGAGCCTGTTTCTTCTCCTGTAACGTGGGTATAATTGCCCCTACTTTGAGATGCCATGAGGATATTCTGAAGTGGCCTAGCATGGGACCTCAGAAACAGTTTCCCTTCTCTGACTCTGGGACCATTGTTCCACTGGGCCCCTAGCTGGGTGGCAGGTCCTCAAACTCTGTGCTTCAGTTCTTCCTCCTGACTCCCTCCAGGAATAAGCCTGGCTTGACCTGGAAGCTCCAGGTCTTCACATTCTTTGGCATCATTCAGTGGCCGAGTCTGTTTCTAGGCCTTCGGCTGCCCCCCAGCGGCTGCCAGATTGTAGGCAAGACAGATGTCCAGCCTGGCCCCACACAAACTGGATGCTTGGTCTGGAGTTCTGTCAACTTTGGCAATTATTTTCATCTTCAGTGGTCAAAGGGGCAAACTGGCCCACAGCTACAGTAGGCTGGGGGAGTGTAATTTTTTGGGCCTCATTTGCCACACTTGAGGCAGAGATCTGTAGCATTTAGGGTCAGGGATATCGCATGCTTGGCTCCAAATGATGGCCCTGCCATGCCATAGCCATGGGACAAGGATATCCATCCTAATGACTTATTTTCCCTGTCTCTAGTATGTAGGTGGCTTGGGGCACCTTCACAAGGTTGCTGAGTGTAAAATGGCATTTGTAAAGAGTCTGGCTTTATGTGTCAGGTACAAATCTTTCAGCCCTCACAACTTCCAAGCTGGGAGGGGTGGCTTCATTCCCCAGTGGGCATAGGAGCCTGCTGGCTTTGATAACTTTCCATTTTATCAACATTTTGGTTTTAATCCTGGTTTAAGGCAACTGGTTTGCATACTGGAAGTGCTGCTTTGAGCCAAAGTTTACCATGGTATCTTGCTGAATCCCTTAGGAGCAAGCAGTTACTTGAGGGTCAGAGGCCAAGGAAAGTATACAGGATCTCACAGGACTACGGGCAGAGCTAGAATTTGAACCCAAGTTTGGAATGTCAGATCTCAGGAATAACTTGTGGGGAGGGAAAAAGGGACTTAAAGGGTCTTAGCATATGTAGTTTGTCCAGCTGATAAGCAGGTCTGATCACATCCAGTGGTGGGATGCACCCTTTGCTGGCTTGTCTCTCTGGGGTTTGATGCCCGCACATTGGGCGCCATTTTGATCCCCTGAGGCAACCAGAGGCCCAGTGACAGGCTAAGGTCTTGCCCCACCTGCACCAAGAACTAACTGTGCAAGAGCCTGCTCCCTCCGCCACTCTAGGGTGGGTTTAAGGCCATTCCAGTCTCAAAAGGTGAAGGCTCAAGCAGGCCCATGCTGCTCATGTACATCAAAGAAACAAGGGGATCATAAGGGACCAATGGAAGTCAGAGCTGTCTGTCTCTCTGTACCTTTTTTTATTCCAGGACAATCCATCCTGGCAGTGACCACTGCTAAGCCAGTCCTTATTTTACTTTCTGATAATTGCAAAGACAGGATGTTTAAGAGGCACGGGGGTGGGGCCTTGAGTCCTCCTATTTTGCCCATGTGGGGAGCAACTGGGAAAGCTCTAAGCAGCTGCTGTACACACAGCCACCCATGGATCCCTGTATCCCCAAGGGAATGGAGGAAGTGTTTCTTCCTCACACCCCCAAAGAGCAGCCAATCAAGAGACCCAGACCAGGATTACGAATGAGGCAATTTATTAACCCAGCATCATTTGTTCTAATGCTTCTTATTGGCAGCTGCCACCTGTGGGAAAATGTAGAAGAATTAAGAACAGCTATGGGTCCCTGTGGAGGCATGTGTTAACAGCTATCCACTACCCACCTAGCAGGACTTGAGCATTTTAACTAGTAAACTGGGACTCCAGAGAAGAGTGACGAGTTGAGTCCAACTCCTGCCCAATGCCTTGTGTGAGGGGAAGGCCAACCATTAGCACTAATGTCTGTGCCAGGCCTTGCTCTGCCTGGATGACCTTTTCCCTTCCAGGTCATCCCCAACTCCCACAGGCAGACATCATCCATGCCTCCTAAGAGGCCTATATCAAATGACACAGAAACAAAACCAGTGTCAAGCTCATCCCAGGCCCTGGGAGCTCTTGCTATACTGTAGCTCTTGACATCTCAACTACCACCTGAAGTGGGCAGAGTGGGTATCTACAGACAGGGAGCCTACGGCTTCAGAGGCAAAGCCATTCTTCCTCAAGGTGTCAGATAGCCAGAATGTGGATTCTGGGCCTAAACTAGGCTGCCTCCCCTATCTCCATATCTCCCAACCTGCCTCCATCTGATGCTCAGTAAGCATGAAGCGTAAGCCAGGAGCACTGCAGCCAGAATCTGTAAGTAGCCTGATCTGGGAAGAGGCAGTCACATGTGCTGGTGCAGCTATCACATGTTTGAGTACAGCTATGTACACTGCAGATGCCTGGTGGTGCCCTGGGCCTGGGTTCCTTCTACTGCAGCACCCAGATGTCCAAGCAGCTTCAGCACGAAAGCCAGTCAGAAATGTTCTTTCTCCTGCCCTCAGGAACCCCTCCTCTGAACCCCACCACCCTGGGCTGTGTCTCCAAGGCAAAGCACAGGCTCTGGATATGCACAGTGACTAAGGGACCCAGTCCTGGCCCACCCATAGCCCTTACCTGTCCGGCAATTCTGTCCAGATCTCTCTGTCCCTGAGGTGTCAATTTGCGGCCCCTGCAGGAGGGAAGGATCATGTAATACCCTGTGAACTCAAGTTCTCAGCTCCTTATCCACTGGTCACAAGCCAGGCTTCCCAAGAAGGCACCTAGCTATGGAACTACATGATGTCAGCCAAGTCCCCACTGAGGGCCCCAGCTGACTGCATTCTAAGGAGCTGGGGGCAGGAGTAGGAGTCCCCCTGAGAGCTGACGGGGTGTTGTTTGTGCAAGCATTAGATCAAAGCCCCGAAAAATCAATTGGGAAAAGTTAACGAGCAGGCTAATGAAAGTGGACAGTCACTAAATTACCTTCCTGGAGCCTTGGGTAGTCAGCCAGAGAGGGTGAGGTGAGGCCCTCTGCTGTTCGCTTTTCTGCAGAATCCCCTGCCTGACTGAGAAACCTGAGGGGCAGGCGCCGACTATGCAGGACAGACCCTGCCCCTACACCTCTACTCATGGAGGATGGTGGTGGTGGTACCTTGCAACTCTGTTACAGGTAACCCCTGGGTACCAACAATCTGGCCCCAAGGCCCTTCCTTTAATCCAGCCTTTCCTACCCTGCTTACCCATCTTGGTCCTTTTCCACCATTTTCAGCCCCTCCAGGGCTTGGAGGACCCGGCGGGCCACACTCTTGGAGCCTCGGCTGAAGTGGCTGGGCATGACGCCATTTCTCTGACGCCCCCCATAGATCTTGGTCATGGAGCCAACCCCAGCACCGCCCCGGAGGTACAGGTGCCGTGCTGTGGAAGCTGGGGAAATGAAAGGAAGACTTGAGGTTGCTTCCCAGGCAGAGAAGTCTGCTTTCCATAGCTGAGGCCTTGTTTAAGGTCGAACACAATTCCACGTGTGTATAAACAGTTGATTCTCACCATCTTTTTTTTTTTTTTTTTTTTGAGACAGAGTCTCACTATGTTGCCCTTAGTAGAATAACTTGGCATCACAGTTCACAGCAACCTCCAACTCTTGGGCTTAAGCAATTCTCTTGCCTCAGCCTCCCAAATAGCTGGAACTACAGGTGCCCGCCACAAGGCCTGGTTATTTTTTTGTTGTTGTTTGGCAGGATCAGGCTAGGTTTGAACCCACCAACTCTGGTGTATGTGGCTGGTGCCCTAGCCACTGAGCTATAGGCGCCAAGCCAATTCTCACCATCTTAAAAGAGTCAGAAAACACATAAGACCCAGTACCTGACAGGCCCCTCTTCCTGCTGACTCCTAGCTGGCTCTCCCATGGCCCTGTGCTCTGGACGGGCACCCCTCCTCCAAGACTGATTAATGGTGTTACAGCCTTAGCAGGGCTGCTGTGAGGTTGAACATGAGGCGAAGCCTATGTTCAGGAAGGGACTCTGGTTTACTCCTTCAGAAACTGTGACCATCTCCAGGTACCCCAAGGAGACAGGACAGTGGAGAAGGGATCTATTGCTAGAGTGTAGCTCTATGGGTCACTTCTTTCTGGAGGGCTCAGGGTAACACCAGGGACAGGACAGAAATCCTCTGCAGTATGAGCTCCCACCTTGGAATGTACATCACTCCCCATGAACACAGGATTACTGTCCCTTGACTGGCTTGAGTAAGTCCCTGGTGCACCCTAGGCAGCTTCCCTGCTGCAAGGCAGGCTCCAGTAAGACCCAGCTGAAGATGCTAGTCCCTCAGTAAGATTCACACATGTCTGCTGGCCCCTGTGCCAAATGCTTCCCACGTATTCTCTTTATATAGTGAGGTGGCCTTAGGAACTAGACTGATGGTGTGGCCTTAGATAAGCTACCTAACAGTTACCTTGAGGACTGAATAGGTATGTGTCATGTGCTACTCTCCTTTATAGAAAGAGAAACTGAAACTCCAGAGGGTACTTGCTGGCTCTCCATCATTCAGCTCTGGAGGGACACCCTGGCTTTGGCACCATGTTTGAAGGCACCATGTCTGAGATATGGGAAATACCTAGATTTCAGCTATCACACGGTCCTACCTGAATAGGGAGCCCAAGGCAGGGATTCTGGTTTATCCCTATGGGCCAAAGACCAGCAAGTGGCCTGAGTCTGCCCAAGTGCCCTCTTTCCTCCAGTTCTGAAGATCAAGTAAGGGAACTGGGGATCTACTTGCTCAGAGACCACAAACAGCCGGGTGCCAGACAGTGCCATGAGTATGTGCTAGGATGGGACTGAGCACATGAGATGAGCTGTCCCTGCACACTTGTTCCTAGCCTCCTCCTGCCCTGAGATCATCTCCAGATACAGTCAGCCCTCTATAGGGCATATCCCACCAATCACAGCTCAAATATATCCAGGAAAAAACAACAACAACCCAAAACACATAGCATTTACATTAGTTATTAAAAGTAACCTAGAGAAGTACCCAAGAGGATATACGTAGGTTTTTTGCAAACACCATACCATTTTGATATAAGAATAAACATTTAGAGGATTTCAGTACCAGGGGTCACCCTGGAGTCAGTCCCCCCACTGATACTGAGGGGACAATACAACTATGCTCTGCTAGGGGTGGGGAGTGCAGCCCTACCACGGTTTTACTGCCTCTGCTCTCTGCTAACTTAAAAACCTACCTACTCCCCTTAGGTTCTTTCCATCTCTACTTCACCCAAGGGCTTACCTCCTACTCTACTGCCTTGGGACTTCTCATTCCCATAACCCTACCCTGGACCAGGCATTAAGTCTCCCTTTCCCTGCCAGAACCAAGATACTCACTTGCTATGAACCATCTCCCACAATCTTTCTGCCAGGAGAGTGACAGTGACATTACTAGAAACCTATCCTTTAAAGACTAGCTCAAATGTCTGATGCTGAGGTGGGCTGAGTGCTCAGAGCTTCCAGGCAGACAGTGCTCTGAATCCCAGCACCACTCATCAGCAATACCACAAAACCAACCCATCCTTCAGGCAGATCATGCAGTGGTACCAAAAGAGATGAATTATTTAACCTTGAGGACAGGAATTGGTTGAGAATAAGCTCCAATAAAATCTATTTGCTTCTTTAATGGGAGCTTCAATTTTTTCTTAATGTCATATAAAAACTATCTGGCATAAAGAACCACCTCTGTCAGTGGGCCTCCTCTACTTCTCCAGTTCTTGCTTTGACCGAGATGAAGCGTTATTCACTTCATAAATAACAAGCTTTCAAAAATATCGAGTCCTACAAAGCATCTTTTCCCAGCCCTTCCCTCATCCCCAGAGACCCTGGCTCCAGCCCCACCTTTTGAAGTAGAACTTTGCAAATCGAGGTCACCTTAAGATAGTATGACAGCACGCCAGGTGCTGTCACAAACAGCTTCTCCTGCCATGTACCCAGGAAGGTAACCCACTTCTCTCCAGGAAACCCTATATAGAATTACAAAGCAGGGGCCATGCAGGCTACCCCCGTGCACTCTCCTGTTCAGTCCACAGTCAGAGGAGAACAGCTCTGTGTTCCTACCAGCCCAGGGCAGAGGGTCAACTCTGTATTTAAGCATGTGAGTTGACCAAGTAAGAATAAGCAAGACTTCTCGGGAGTTACCATAGTTCAGTATTTCAGCAATTTATTCCAAGTTCAGATTGGTGGCCTCATCCTGACCTACTGAATCCAAAAGAGGAAGAAACCCTCCCACATACTCTGCCCTAACCCTTCTCTGCCAGACATATGAGAAACACTACCCTGACCTCAATTCATTCCTCAATGCACTCCTGTGATACCCTCCTGCCTTCTACTGACAACTTCCCAAGTGGGCGTCTGGCATTGTGCAGCAGAGATGGACCTGGCACCACCCTACAAGAAATGCTTCAAGACACCCCTATTCGGTTTCTCCCAGTCAGATGCCCATCAAGACACCACACTGGACTCTTTTCAGAAGATCCTGAGAATCGAGGTCAATAGGCTTATTCAGCCCTCCACTACACCATACCTCCTTACCTCCCTTGAGCAACTCTTTTTGAACCTCCCTACACAGAGCAGGCCTCTACTTTCCTGACACATGTTCTTTCTATCTCTACCTCAGCCCTAGGTCTAACCCCTACACCACTGCCTTGGGACTTCTTACTCCTATGGCTCTGCCCTATTCACAGACCATGCTCAGGAGGGCTTAGTCTTCTGCTGTGGGCCCCCCTTTATTCTCACACACTAAGATCAGGACCAATCAACTTTACAATGGTTTCTACATGCTCCCATGATCCTCAGAAGAAAAAGGAATCACATAAGATTACCTAGTTTTACACAGTCAGCCTATGAAGCCCCCCTCTGTACTTTAGCTTTCTCTTCAGTAAAATGGGCTGCTACTATGACTACAACCTGTACACTGACTGCCAAACCAGGTGTGAGCACATTAAATTAAAAAAAAAAAAAAAAAAAGGCTGCTGAACTTCTCCTGTAAAAGTCTAGGGTCTACAGGTGACAGGCTCTGCCACAACTCTGCCCTTGTGCACATGAACACATGAGTAACAAGCCTCTGGACTAGAACCCAAACACTTGATGTCTCTAGGGCAGATGAGGAAAGTGAGGTCAAAAAGGGACCTTTGGGAACCTCAAGTAAGGGAGACTAGCAGTCAGGTGAAGGTGCATATCCCAAGTGAGATGACAGGAAGGGGCCATAGCAACTAAAAACAACTAACATAAGTGCCTAGGTTTATTATCTCAGATCTTGATCCCCTTTCTTAATCTCTCCCCACCTTAAAAAGTCTGAAAAATGCTGCCAAGTAAAGACAAGCTGGAGTCCTTTCCAAGCGGTATCAAATATGGGTGGATTATGGCATCACTAGCTGATGACACTGGCCCTGTTTTTTCACCTTTCTGACTGATATCTGTGAATACTGATACTGTGAAACAGACGCAACCAGTCCAATTTTGGAGGTTTTTGATTATGTGCAGATAATGCAGAATGTGTATCATCCCACCAATGAAAAAGGCCATTAGATTCTTAATCCTAGACCCCAAACTGCCTCGATCTACTGACTCTTAGAGGCACTGCCAAATAACACTCAGGTTCACGTAGCCTTGCTCAACAAGACAGGTAGAGAAGGTGTGTTTCATCTAGGCCTCATCACTGTTGTGTGCCCAAGTAAGTCACCTTCATCAGCCTCATTTTCTTTCTAAAAATACAGTGGTGAGGATGGGCACGGTGGCTCACACTTAGGTCAAGGTGGGAGGATCCCTTCAGTTCAGGAGTTCAAGACCAGCCTAAGCAAGACCCTGTCTCTAATAGAAAAAATTAGCCAGGCATGATGGCTTGTCTCCGTAGTCCCAGCTACTTGCCTGGCTGAGGCAGGAGGACTGCTTAAGACTAGCAGTATAGGGTTGCTATGAGCTAGGCTGACTGCACAGGACTCTAGCCTGGGGAACAAAGTGAGATTGTCTTAAAAAGGGGGGAGGGGAAGCGATGATGAGTGGGCAAATATGCCATCAACCCTACTTACCTCATAGAGATCAGAGGCTATGGCCGAATCATGTTGCCCAGTGCAAGGGCTAAACAGAGGGTCTCATGGCCATTTGATGCACGAATGTACCAATAATCTACAAAATGCTTCATGTTTTGAAGTTCCGAGTATCTTGTATCAAAGTCAGCTCTTCTGGAGTTTTGCTAATTCCCCAACTCTTTCCACCTATTCCCTAAGATGGAGCTCCCACATCACAGACAAAGTTTTAAGTCTAAAGAGACCTAAGCCCCTTGCACTGACATTCTCACTCTGTCACTCCATGACAGGTTACCGAACCATGAAATGTCAAGACAGGTGAGAGCCAGCACCGTGTAGTCAGAAACAATTTAAAACATTACCAGAAAATTAAAAGGATAAGAGAGAGAGTGGGCATGAGGTCATAGGGTTGTAAAGTTACCATAAAGTCAGCAAGTTTTATTTTGAACACTTGGGAGTCATGCCAAGATTTATAGAACAAAAACTGACCTGGCCCTATCATCAACCACTTAGAGAGAAAACAACTTGTTAAGAAGAGACTAGCATGATGATCTGAGCAACAAGACAAGTGACTTAAAATGGCTTAGTATAAGATAGTCATATTTCTAAGCACTTTAGACTTAATCAAATCCTCACAATGATCCTGTATGGGTAGGGTCATCAGCCCCATTTCAGGGATGAAGAAACAGAGGCACAGGCAAGTTAACTATCCTGAGATCACACAGCTAGTTAAGTGGTGGAGACGGATTTTAACTCAGGAAGCCTGACTCCACAGATACAGAAAGGATGTGGCCTCTGTAAAATGAAAAACATCTAAGCAAAATATGAACATGTTTGTCCCTGAGTTTCCCTTAAGGTTCACTCAAAACCAGGTCCTCTTACAAAACTGTTAGAATGGAATAACAGTTTGGAACAAGAGGTTACTGAACGTTAAATCATGCAAAGCGCGGCGACACAAAAGGTTTCTCCTCCTATTGCAACCTTGGGAGCAAAGAAAGAGTTCACAGAGGGGACAGGCCTGTGCTACTAGGGTAGGGCTGGTCCAGCTTCCACTCTCAAACCAAAGGGTCAAGTTCCTTACCAGCTCGTGTGTAGAACCAGTTCTCATCGTAGGGAGCAAGCTCCTTATGCTTGGCCAGCTTGACTGTGTCCACCCATTCGGGTACTTTCAGCTTCCCGGACCTGGGACCAAGACAATGAGACAGGCACAATTCAGGAACCTCTACAACTACCCTAACACCCTCCTACCCCGAACACAGCTGTAGATTCACAAGAGCCAGATGTGTCCCAGGATGTAAATAAAAAGGCTGAAACCAAGACACAACCCACGCCTTACGCAGAAAGAGCAGACAAACATTGGAGTTCAGGAGCAGGTAAAAGCGACAGCCGCCATCCACTAAGAAACTCAGCCCCCAAACTCACTTTTTGAGGAAGGCTGCCAGAGCTCTGACGAACTCCTGCTGGTTAACGTCTTTTACAGTAACTCCAGGCATCTGCGGGGTTAAGGTCAAGCATGTGAACGCAAGGCCTGGTAGAGACCGCTGACAACAGAACCCACCCACTGCTTTCGCCCCAACATATCCTTAACCGCGGTACCCCGTTACTTCCCAAGGCCTTTCAACTTTGGGCTCCAGCTCCGGTGGCTGAGACGGCGTTCACAGACCCACCGATCTCTATAGGTTCCACGAATACAGTCGGGTCCCGGTTAAGATCTTACGCGACTCAGCCCTCAGGACTCAGACTCTGGGCTCCCCACGCATCCCGCCGCTGCCCACCAGGCCCACCCTCGGTTCCTGAATCGCGCTGACCGGGCATGTCCCGGCCTGCCGCTCGCACGTGGCCGCGGCTCCAGGGGGCGGGACGGCCTCGGCCGGGCCTCGGGGCCCTCAGGCACGCGCTCCCGGGTCTGGGGGTCCGGCCTAGAAGCCTCGCGCCCAGTTCAACTCGGAGCACCCGCTTACCGTGCGGCCTCCGCGCTGCCAGCCAGGGGAAAGGGAACGACGGGGTTTCCCGGGCGCACAAGTCGGGCGTCGGGTCTCGCGATAGTTTCAGAGCTCGCGAGAGCAGGATTAGTGCCAGGCGGCTCCGCCTTTCTCAGGGCAAAGGTGGCTTCGTTTCCGGTGAGGGGAGGGTGTGTAGTGAGGGATGAAGAGGCAATGGAAAAGGCCTGTTTCATCTCCGCTCTTCCTTTTTCTATAGCATAATAAAGAACACGAACACCTCTGTTCTGACCTGGGGTAGCTTAGCTTCGTTGGCGTCGTTGGTGGCTGGAAAAAGCCATGATCGTGGAAGTACGGAGGAATCTGATAGAAAAAGACCTGGCCACAGACGGCGCCTCCAGAACTGTAGAAATGGATTTTACCTGGCCGGAAGTGGGAGTAGTAAGGGCGGAACTCTCATGGAGAACCTAAGGAAGGGGCAAGAAAGAGATGTGGCCACCATCTTCTGTCCTACCCTGAGTAGTCGCGAGAGCCGAAGACGGAAGCCCCACCCTTTTTAGGGCGGAAATTGCTTCAGGACGGCCGAGGCGGTCGGAATGGGACCCAGGCACTGGAGGTGGGGAGAAGAGGGCAGGGACCGAAAGGCAGAGGCGGGACCTTTGGAGAAGTTAGTTTAGGTTTGCATTCTGGTGTGTGAATGTGTGAACTCAGACTATTTGGATTTGTCCGTGTGTAGCATTAGGCACTCCGTTTTCTCTTTCAGGGCTCAGGCTCACCATTAAAAAACAAACAAACAAACAAAAAACACTGACATCCTTATCATTTCTCATTTTATGTGGCTGCTCCTGTACCTGGTTCTAAAAGGACAGTCTTGCTTGCTAGCGAAATAACAGAAAAAATATTAACACATAGTTTCTCAATAAGGGCTAAGATCAGCTCTTTTGCTGACAAATACCTCGCTTAGTTCTGTTTTCACAACATCTAAAAAGAACAGAGAAGACAGAAAAGAAAACATATTTCTACAGTCGCTAAACTTACTGACTAAAAGCTATCGTTTAGAATCTAGTTTTACAGCCTTGAGGTGGACAAGAACAAACAGTAGGGTGCAGGGAGCGAGCTACAGACCTCAGTTCCTGCTCCAGCTCTTCAGAGAGGCAGAATCAATGACAAGAACGCAATCATCAGTGATAAGTCTGACTCCAAAGGGAAGGCAGCCTGCTTCTGTAATCAGCTTGCCCCTGAGTGAAGAGGGGATGCAGCAGTTCACATTACCCTGTTAATTTGACTACAGCTATAAATCTTCACCCCTAAATAAAAAGATTGAATAGCTGATTATGTAGCCCAGCACACTCCCCCGTGCTGGCCTTTTTCCAGTAAAATAATTTTTTCTTTCTTTCTGTCCTCAGTCTTTATCTGAAGATGAGATGTCTCTCAAAACTCACATGCAGTAGCTCACAAGCTAACAGTGTGTCACGTATTCCAGCAACGTGTGTTTTTTTTTTTTTTTTTTTTCTTTTTTTAGGTAGAGTCTCACAATGTCGCCCTCTATAGAGTGCCGTGGTATCACAGCTCACAGCAGTCTCAAACTCTTGGGCTTAAGTGATTTTTTTGTTGTAGTTGTCAATGTTGCTTAGCTGGCCTGGGCCGGGTTTGAACCCGCCACCCCTGGTGCATGTAGCTGGTGCTGTAATCACTGTGCTACCAGTACTGAGCCTTAGTCCAGTGTCTTATTCCTACCCCTGGCTGTTCTTGGC